CAATCCTAGTCATTCCTACCTGGGGCCTGATCATTGGTTTGAGATCTCCTCCTCTATTCTCTAAAGCATTGTTGAAATTTGGGTGTGGCTAATTTGTATGTGAACCTGTAGTGTCCTGTGGATTCCCAGCTCCTCACTAGACGAAGAAGGCAGTGAAGATGGTGAGACCACTCCATCGTGATCCTAGTGAGAGGGGAAGACCAACATGCTGTTACTCCTGGTGTGAACAAGTCTGCCTCTCAATTCAGCAGCTATTCCCAGTTTGTGCTCTGCGCACACCTATTAAGGCTCCAACTGGGATCAGGATAAACACCCAGTAGAGGAAGATCTGTTGCCTTCTGTTTTCCTCCTGAGTTTTATCTAGGGATCTCCAAAGCTTATCAAAAGTAGATTAACTTTTTTTTTTCTTATAAATGTTTCCTGTATCTTCACACCAGATGGCATCCACCTTCCATGGCCTGGCACTGGGAAAATCCAACCCAGGACACACCTGGAAGATGAGGGTCATCAATGTATGTATGTGTTACTTTGTTTTAAGTCTGAATTAAGGATAGTTTTGACAATACTGCATAGTATTATTAAGAAGACTAACCTTAGTCCATATCACCAAATACAACTCCCTGTGGACCCTTTGACCACAAGATGTTCAAGTTTGCTTACTAGACAGTTACACGTGCAGAGGAGCAGGAAACCCTCAGGAACACCATTCTCGTGTGATTGTGTAGAGTAGCCTTTAAGGGAATTGCTGAAAGTCTTCCTCCTCGTGTCCCCTTTCTTACATAAATCATGACTGTGCTCAGCAAGAAGTGCATTGAGGGTCTTAGAGAAGCATTCGACCCATAATAGGACTCAAGTTACTGCCATACCTTGTTGTTAGACTTTCAGCTACTTTTTCCATAGGTAACTGCTTTATAGCATCTATGTTAAAATTTGAAACATGACCCACATAACCAATAACAATAACTATCATGGGGTTTTCTATTTTTTTTAAATAAAAAGCCAAGAAATGTATGTTCAGAAGTTGCTCTGGGCCTCAATGACATCAAAGCAGGCCTGTAAGAATGGGCCTAGAGAACTAAAAGCAGCCCTTTTTCATTCTTTAATGTTATTTAAACATTCCTTGAGAATAAAATATATTTACAATTTTAAATATTAGTATAAATGTATAATGATAAAGTCTGTTTATCTTGGAGTCAGGTTCATATAACTTATATATTCCTCATTTTCAAATAAAAAAATTGGAGGTAATGTGACTGTGTTACCTATGCAATAAGTGTGGTTAGTATCAGTATAGTAAGAAGTGTGAGTATCAGTATAATTTTAAGCCTAAAATTGGTGCATCTTGTGCCTTTAATCATGTTGCCTTCCAAACCTCCATACTAAACGTTGGACACATTTTCTTAACTAACAGTGACTCAACCACTGGAATGTCGTGCAGATGGAGTTGACCAGCGACTGAGTAAATTAATTATAAACACTGACGCTGCTCTCTTAACTCCCTTATTAGGAAGAGGTTCCTGCCTCAAGTTGGACAGGTAAGTTCATAGATTTGATAACAGGTACATCCAAATGTGAATGATACAGATGAGAAGAGAACTCTTGCAGCACACGGTGCTGTGTGAAGTGACTCTTTCCTGTGGTGCTGAGTGGTGAACAGCAGGCTCAGCTTGTTGGAGGAATTGTGCATGTTTGTTCCTTCTAACTATTCCTTAGTGATTCCCTCCTCTTTCTTATTCTCGTGCCAAGGGAGTTTTTAAAATATATCTTTTTATTTGCAGATGGACACAATACCTTTGTTTTATTCATTTATTTTTATGCGGTGCTATGGACCAAACTCAGTGCCCAACACGTGCTAGGCGAGTGCTCTGCCAATGAGCCCCAGCCCCAGTCTGCCTGGGAGCTTTAGATGGACCTGCAGAGTAAAAGTGTCTGCATTCAGAGGTCAGCAGTGCTCTGTTCTAATTCTAGGGAAATAGTTCACAAGGAAAACTGCAGGAAAGTGACCATTGAAATCTTCCTGGATGAAAACAGAGTCTGCTTACAGGAAGTCTTTTCATTAATCATAGATGTTTTCTACAACTTTTTCAAAATCAAAACCTATAGAATTATTTTTATATCATTCAAAGTATACAGGAGTTAAATGTTGAAATTTTATATTTAGTTTTTTAGTTTTTAATTAATATTTTTTGGAATTGAAAATTGAATCCAGGGTGCTTAACCATTGAGCCAAAATCCAGCCCTTATTTTTTTTCCTATTTTATTTAGAGATAGGGTCTCGCTGAGTTGCTTAGTGCCTCACTAAGTTGCTGAGGCTGGCTTTGAACGCCTGGCTTTGATCCTCCTGGGCCAGCCTCTTGAGATGCTAGGATTATAGGTGTGTACCACCATGCAAATGGATAAAGAAAATGTGGTATATACATTCCATACATACATGGAATATTACTTAACCTTAAAGAAGAATGAAATTATGGCATTTGCCAGTAAATGAATGGAACTGAAAAACATCATGCTAAGTGAAATAAGCCAGTTCCAAAAAACCAAAGACCAAATGTTCTCTCCAATATATGATGTAACCCATAGCAGGAGGGGAAGCATAGAAGTTCATTCGATTAGACACAGGGAAATGAAGGGAAGGGAGAGGGGATGGGAATAGGAAAGACAGTGGAATGAATCAGACATGACCTTCTTACGCTCACATATGGATCACATATGGATCAGTGAAACTCCACATTGTGTTCAACCACAAGAACAAAATCGTAATGGGTTGTACCCATGTATGTATGATAAGTCAAAATGCACCCTACGGTCATGTGTATCTAAAAACAACAAATAAAATAACGTAAACAAAAGTGGAAATAATTAGAAATAAAAAACAAAAGGACCAATCAAAGTCCTGCTTGTGCAGCTGCTATACGGATCGCATCAGGAATTGGCAGACGAGGGCATTTGTTCATCGTGAGTCTGTAAGTTGTCAGTCACAAGGGAAAGCAACTTAGCAACTGTTTATAAGCCAGACCTACAAAGATCCTCAGATCAGGGCTGCGGAATGTCCATGTGGCACCATGTGTCACGGCGAAAAAAAAGACTACGTATCCTGCAGCAGAGGGCTGGGAAATCAAGAACTCCCTTGTGCTTTTAAAGTGGATCAACAGAGCTCACATGTTCAGCCTGGAGGACCCTCATGACACTCTTAATGCTGGATGGAAACCTGGCTGCAACAAAGGGAGGGGAGGGGAATAAGAGGGACATAGAACGAAATGGTCGTAACTTTCCAGCCTTGCACTGAAAACACAACCAGAGTAACTCAGCATCACGTACAGCCCCTAGAATAGGATCCTAATTAGAAAAAGTTGTACTCCATGTAAGTATACTATGCCAAAATACTTCTACTGTCATGCAGAACTAAAAAGCAAGTAAATATAAATAAATAAAAACAAATAATAAAAGTAAAAAAATGAAGAAATAACTAACATTTAATTTTATTTCTTTCAATAGAGAGTGATCGTATTGATTTTCATGAAAAATGCAGAATCCAAAATTTTGTTACTCAAATACATCTTGGTATTGCCCCAATACTTTGATAATTATTTAATTAACCATTTATCTTAAATGAGGACACATTAGTTTTTAAATGAGCTATTACAAAATAATATATGTGCATTTTTCAAATGCTTTGAGTTCTTTTTCTTGCTCCCCTTATGTGGTGGCAACGTGACCAAGTGGACAGTAAGACACACGGTTTCAGAGGAGCTAGTGCCAGAAGAAAGTCTCAGAGAACAAGGCTGAGTCCCCTATACCTTTTCCCATTTCGTCACATTATAAAGCTGCAGAATGACAAGTTTAACGGAACAGGGCGCCGTCTATGGACAGGGACAGCATCCCTGGTTCATCCTAGGTCATGGGCCCTGCAGCCCTGCACCCTGGCTCTGTCCTCTGACTGGCTTGCGCTGACCTGGGTCAAGACGGATTCAGACAGACCCAGTGCGTCTTCACTGGGCGCAGTGGCCTGGGGGCAGGTGCCAAGACCCAAGGCTCAGGGAGAGGCCTGCTGGAGTCCAGGGGTTTTGGAAACTAACTTTTACTGAGATTCACAAGCAACTTGGATGAAAGAGGAGAGTTGTGGAAGGCTGTGTCCTGCTCTCTGTGGAGAACTGTGATTAAAGAACGTGTTTTAAAGTTGCCCTTTTGCTATATGCTCTTATTTATCGCCAACTGCCTACTGGAACAGGGAGCACCTACTTTAAAACACTGCTTCTTGTTGGTTTAAGAAAATCATCCCAACACTTTGAACTGCCAACTGAAACAGAATGTTCTGTTTGAATATTTGCACTATTTTCTGTGTTAGTGATAGTCTTTTTTGGCGTGACTCTGGGATGTTCCAGTGCCTTCCTGATCTACCTCAAATACCTTGTTCCACTGCAAATGGCCAGGCCTCCCTCACACCTCTGTGGCGCCCCCTTTTTTGATCAGATCATTTGTTTCTCTTCCCATCAAGGGACGGGGAGCCCTTCTGTGCTCCTTGAGTCCTGTCTGGTCCCTGAGGCTGGCTTTGGTGACCGCACATCAGCAGAGGGCAGCAAGCAGAAGCTGAAACTTTCATTCCCTGCTGCTGAGGGCCCTCCACAGGACTGGACGCTGCAGGAAGGGCACTGGCAGGCGTGCTCTGGTCTTCCCAGGAGGCCAGAGGAGGCCAGGTTCCGGAGAAGGCCATGGGAACTGGTCCTGCTGAGCCCACCCAGATCTGAGCTGCACAACCACCCACTGATAGGGAATGACGACCACGCCTCTCAGCTCATTGATGAGATACTGACTTCACCTTGTTTCTGTCACTGTCACCAGTGATAACAGTATCACATGGCTTCACACATGATCTCAAAGGAGCAGCAGAGACGTGCGTGTGATCCCAGGGCACAGCCTTCCATTTTCCTCCTTCCGTGGACTCAGCGTGCTGTTCTCTCTCCTCTGTCCTCAAATCCCTGAGGCCAAGTCGCAGCACTTACCTGATGGTCCTCCCGGGGTCGGCCTCTATGACCCAGGTGCAGTGCAGGTTATTGTCATAAGGTGCTGGGTAGCCGGGGGACAGTATCCGTCCTGACGTGGCAGCGGGGATCCGACCTCCACACTCAGCTGTAAGACACAGACATGGGGAGTCACTCCAGGGGCTGCCCTTTCTGTTGAGCTCATTGATGAACAAAACCCTGAATGAAAAATCACCTCTGAGTTACATACATGAAGAAGTGCACCAACAGCTCCATCCTTTCTCCCACACCCCCAGCCCTTTCCTTGACACAAAGTCTTGGTCCTACAGGTCATTAAGGTGCGTGTGTAAAACAGCGGCACACCATGTGGTCATTCCCATAACTCTGTGCACACTGTCTCCACAGAGTGGCCGGGAAATGCCTTTCAAACTGGAGCACGCACAGGCACCTGCCCATCTCAGGAGTACGCACACGCTGCAGGGGGGTGAATCCTTGTCTCTGCAGAATGGTGGCCAAGCCACCCGCAGCAACACTCTCCACCTCTCCTCACCTGGCGGAGGCCTCACCTGCTTCCCGACTCACCTACGCAGGAAGGCACTGGTCTGTCCCACACCCTGCGGTCCCCACTCAGGCAGGTCAGGGTGCTGCTGCCATGCATGGCATAGCCTGGGTTGCAGCTGAACAGGACCACGGTGTCCGTGAAGTGGCCTTCATCCCGGATCCTGTAGCCATAGTTAGGGATGCCCGGGTCCTCACACTTCACTAGGTCAAAACCTGTGCAGAGAGAGGGAAGAGTGAACGTACTCAAGGTCAAGTGCACACCCCCTTAGGTTAAAGGAGGAACAAGCACTGCCCGAGGGCTCCCTGGGGTGCAGCAAGAAGAGGAAGAGGGTGTGGTCGTGAGGAGAGGGACTGGGGTCTCAGGAGGTCTCTGTGAACCACTCCTCAGAGCTGGGGGTTGGCTGCCTCGGTGCTCCCCAGGACGTGTGCTCCCACGCTGACCACCTGTCCACCCACACCTGTGGTCAGCACACCGCACTCCCCAGGCCTCCTCGGAGTCAGGAACCTGGCATTCCCCACCTCCCTCGCTGTCACAACTCCATCTCTGAGAAGGACGCGCCTCTGTCTGTACCCCCAGGGTTCACGCAGCTGGTGCCTGCACCAGCCCAAATCGCAGCCTCCCACCTTCCTGCTAACCTCCTCCACGCTCTCAGGCCTCCGTCTTCAGGGGGTTATAAATGGATCCTGACCACAAAAGCCAGGGACTCCTGAGTCTCCACCTGCCATGTCCCCATGCCATGAGGCTCCTGAGAAACTTGGCCAGACAAAGACGCAGAAGTGAATCATAGTGGAGTTGGAAAACTCAGTTGTCAAAGCAATGGAGGACAGAAAGGGAGGCTCCCCTGTGCAGGTGGCCTCATGTGGCCGACACTTAGGGCCATCTGTGAAGACAGTCTTACAGTAACGTTTCTCTTCACGTTATGATATGAATTTTAATGCTTATATAGAGTCGGAAGCTTGAGGGTCACGTGTTCTGTGTACTTCTATTTCTACCTAATTTTCCTTTTCTCAAAAACAATTGAATTATGAAATAAATATGTGATTTCTCTGCCAGTTGGCCTCTCCGGTTTGCATTTTGAGATAGATACCATCCACTGAGGAAAATATTCCCTGAAACTTGCAATATAGTTATACCCAGGTGGTCTCCAATCAAGATTGGGTTTTGTGGGTTGGAGCTGTGGCTCAGTAGCAGCATGTGTGAGGCACTGGGTTCCATCCTTAGCACCACATAAAAATAAATAAATAAAATAAAGGTATGCTATCCATCTACAAATACACACAAAAAAAACAACTTTTTTTTTTTTTTAAAAGATTGGGTTTTGTGACTTCGTATAGGGAAGAGAGTACACCTGTGGGAATGTACATGGGGTTGCTGAGAAGTTTCCTTCTTTGCCAACTACAATGTTATTATCTTTGCAACAGATGATAAGACATAAGAAATGGAAACGTTAAAAGTCTGGATGTCCAGAGTGGGAGAGCAGAAGAGTGCACTGACCAGGTGTAAAGCAAGGGTGCTTCAGATGGCCCCAAGGGAGGCAGGAACAGAGAGAGGGTCCCAGTCCCACCTGGCTTCAGGGACTGGCAGATATTTGGCTGTTTGAGGGAAACACTGAACTCTTGTGTCACCTGCGACCAAATCCACTGAGCACCCAGGGTTCCAATGGCCTGTGGAGCACTTGGCTGGGGCTTCTTTTGTGTCTTTTTACATGACCTGGGGGCTTGGCAAGGATGGCATCTGAACTGGGCTTTAGGAGGCAGTTCCGCCCAGGCCTGGGACCGCAGCCCTGGAGGTGGTGACTTCCACCTGCCACACTGCAGGAGGGTTCTGTCCTGACAGCAAAAATGGTACTGAAATGCTCCACCATCTCTGACTCCAGTTAGGCACCAAATGCCAGCGGAACCCAAGATTCTGAATATCCATGAGTCAAACAAAATCCAGTTATGCAAACAACAACCCCAGAGTGCAGTGTCTACTTCTGACCAGTACCAGTGTGCCAGGGTATGAATAAGGTGACCGTCCATGTGAAGGTGACAACCCCATGCTGCTTTGCAGGTCCATCTAATGCTTACAGGCTAAGTGCTCACACACACACACACACACACACACACACACACACACACAGGATGAAGAGACTGCCCAAAGAAGCACTCATTCATTTTGACAATGACTTACATCTCTGATGCACAGAGGAGACTCTTACTTTCTTTGCAGGAGACGTTTGCCTGTGTTGATAATGACAGTGACTTTCCTGGGAGCCTCATGAACTATCTCAGTAATTTATAGCCATGAGCTCTAGAGATCATTTATAGATGTCAGTGCTCACAGTGTTACTCAGAATACGCACCTCCCTAGGTTGAGAGAGCGTGTCCTTTACATTATCAAAGTTCTAAAATCTAGAAATATACTCATTCTAAGATTAGCTTGAAGCAGCATTTCCTCTGCCCCCCAAAACTTGTCTAAGAACTTTATTTGGATCAAGGAGGAAAGAAACATCAAAAAACAAACAAGTCAACAAATAAAGACGTGTCAATAAAAACGTCTAAGAGACTTTATGTGGGTTGAACTTTCTGGAGAATTATCTGTTTTATTGTCTTTTCTATCACCCGATCTCGAAACTTGATTTTTACACCACATCCTGTCACACCGCCAAGGGAAGCTGTGTTTATGGGGCACAATTACTCTTCATCGCGGCTGTACCTGGCTTCTTCTGAAGCTTTTATTGTTTCTTCAAAAGGTCACTTAGGAAGCTGCAGCATGATGGAACGCATTATCATACAGGAAGCTCCACACTTGGTTCCTAAATGCCTGCAGGCCTCCCCAGTGTCCTGTACAAAACAACCCCTAAAGCTACCCCTGTCGGGAGGTCGAAGCAGTCCACCAACTCAAGTCAGCTTCTGGCTCACACCTTCTCACAGTTAATGATCTCACTCTGACACAGGAGAAATCCTGCACACCCCCTGGAGGAAGCACTGGGAGCCCCGTGTCAGTGTTTGGAAGGGCTGGAGGAAGGGCTCTGGGGACCCAAGGGCTGGCATGGCACTCCTTGCTTCCAGCGGGTAGACTCTGAGCTGGCCAAGAGGGCAGTCTCACCCTGAACCCTGACTCTGCCCAGGGCTTTGGGAACACAGCCCTCGTGAACGGTGTCTCTCCTAAACTACACTGACTTCATTCCAATCGAGCTTCTCTTGCTGGGTTTACAGGCAATGTTGAACCACGACCTACTAAAAACTTCAGCGCTGCTTTTAAATACTGATAAAATGATTCAAATTGATGTACAATAGCAGAATTCTGAAATGTCAATGTAGCACTCTGTGTTATAGATTCTACATCTTTTTAGGGAACTTTGCTATGGTTTATTTTTAGGTCTCAAGTTTTTAAAAATATATATAGTATTTAAATCTACAAAACTATCCCTCGGGAGATTTCCCATGGAAAGTGAATTTAAAAGACTTCAATGATCAGTCATCCGACTGCCAAAGACTAATAATATCTTTACAAATCCAGAGAGCAGCATACTCCACCTCGAAGCCACCAGCCTGCAAGAATGCAGGCCACAGAAACGGGTTCTGCATTTTGTTAAGCCACAGCAACTTAAAAAAAAAAAATCAAGGAGTTTGTGTGAAAACATTATTAAGAGTTACATTCAAAGCGTGGCTATTTAGCGATTCCAGGTCTCTCTGTTTTCCAGTGATTTCTTCGTCGGTCATAAATGCAGCAAAGTTACTGTGAACCAAAAGTGCTCATCAAAACAAGATGCAAGCCTCAGGCCGATGGGAATGTCTGCTGCACGCCTTCTGCAGTCATGAGCTCTGAGCCTCCTTTAGACTTACTCCTGTGACTTCTCGTGGGGCAGTCACTGCAGTTATCCCAGACGGCTAGCCTTAGGTGTTGGACCAGCTCTCATCCTCCCAGGGACCTGTGTGGAGGGGTGGAGAGCTGCTCCCCACGCAGTCCACTTCCCTGCCCTGCTGAGCCCTGAGGACAGGCAGGTCCAGCCTGGGTTGCAGCACTGGTGTAAAGGTTCAACTGAATTGTCCACTTGACCGGATTAAGAGATGCTGAAGAGCTTCTGGGTGTGTCAGTGAGGGGTGTCTAGGAATGATCGGCATGTGGGACAGTAAACTGAAGTGGAGACCCTCCCCAAGTGTGGGCGGCACTGTCTGGGGGGTTAGAGGCTTGGGTGGAATAAGAGAAGAACAAGGGAGCAGCAGCAGATGCAAGCTCCGTTCTTCTTGAATGGGTTCTTGATCGCTGCCATGGTCAACTGAGGACATCAGACTCTTTCCTTCACTCTTCCAAAGTGGACTCTGCCCGTGACTCTCAGGGAGCTCCCAGAAGCCCTTGGCCTTGGGCAGGGGCAGCACCATTGATCCCTCTTGTTCTGTGGCTTCAGCCTCTTGGACTGCAAGCTCCTGGTTCCTCCAGCTCTCCAGCCTGCAGCTGGCCACTGTGGACTGTCCAGCTTCTCGTCGTGTAAGCCAATCTAATAAATCCCCTTTCAATAATCATACCTCCTGTTGATTCTGTCCCTCTAGAGAACCCTGACGAATACCACGGAAGGGTCTTCTGCCAGGCAAGCTGGGAAATCATGGTTGGAGAAGAACAGCTTCCACTACGTGCTCTGAGGCCTGGTCCCCAGCACTGACACCTTCAGGTGTCTGCAGAGAGCCACCACCTCACACGTTTACAAAATATTCCCATTTGGATAATGTTCTTTCTTAGGGGAAAAAAAAAATCTCTTAGTAATCTAAGAAAGGCTGTCATGTGCAAAAATAAGGAGAGTGTTTTCACACATACATGCAGTAAAAAGAATAGGCTGACAAATGCCCTCATTTTATTAACTGTATTTATTTGCAGTCACCTGGAAAGAAAGGGAGGCTAAGGCTGCATCCTTGCTTAGTTTAATCTCTGTGACTCAATTGAGAAGAAAAGTTAATTAACGCTGAACTTCCTGAAGTGCTTAATGGACCCACATTTTAAAACACAGCCTGTTACTTAAGAATGAAATCTAGGGTGTGTGTGTGTGTTTAGTTTTTAAACCATTTAGATATATAGTCATTCTTTATAGTTGCTGTTGGTTTCAAATTGATTTGTTCACCCCTTCTTCTATTTAATTCACTCCATTCCTCCCACATGTTAAGTTTTATTATCAAGCTGTTACTTTATAATTATGTGAGGGGTCCCCCATGAAAAGAGCCTCCAAATTTTCCAA